CCTTCCTCCCTCTCTCTCTCTCTCTCCCCTTTCTTCTCTTGATCTAACAGCAGAAAGAAGAATGAATTTTATGATGAGTGATATGTTTAAAATTTAAATTCATCATGCAAAGGCAGTTTCATCCATCATTGTTGAAATGGTCACAATTTCCTTTTTCGTCATTTAATTTTTTTTTTTTTTTCATTTTCATATTATGTATGCGAAATGCCGAAATTATAAATTATGCGAAATGCCGAAATTATAAATTGATAAATTGATCATTTAATGATAATTGTCCGAATTTATAAATTGATAAATTGATCATTTAATGATAATTGTGGCCACTGTCCGAATTTTAATCTTTCCTGTTTTTTCGCCAACCTAAAATTTTCTTTTCCTCTTTGCTACCATTTTCTCTTGCAAAACCACTATATGCATATATTTTAAATTAAAAAAATCTTTAGGATGCAAAAAATTATATAATTCTTATTAAAAGATTTTTTTTTTTTTTAATAATAATTTGATTTTCTGTCATAAGTACACATTCAGCTGACCTCTGACATTTACTTTACTTTACTATCACTTTCTATCGTTTGATAATATTTTTAAGATGAATATCATTTGTTATATATGCAATCAGTATGTGAAACAATATTTTCATTTTTCTTTCTTCGATATTGATGGATTTTTGTAAATGCAAAGCAGAAATTTTTTTTTTCTTTTTTTTGTTTTGTTTTTTTATAATGAAATTTGGAACTTTAAATTTCATTTTGACAAGAATTGCAAGCTTATTGCATCCTTTCTTGTTCCTACTAATGTTTTGAGATTAAAGAAGACAATTCTTTTCTTTTCTTTTTTTTGTTTCTAAACGTCTCAGATTTTACTTATTCCATTCAAACATCATATTGTGTGAATTCATCCCTTTCAAAAATTTAAATTTCATCAACAGAAAAACTTAAGGATCGTAGAATAAAGATGAAATCAAAATAAAATTCTGATTGCAACAATGCACTATTCTGTTTAATTCGTTAACAAATTCTTATTTAATTTTACATATAGTGTTTAAAATTCTCTTTCTATTGGACCACAATATATCAGTAACGACAAGATTATCATGACCATATAGTTCTTATCAAAAATTTTTTCAATATATCATCAAAAGATTGAAAAAAAAAAAAAAAAAACTTTTTAAAAGAAATCTTCAAGAGCGGTTAATTCACATCATAATCGCATTTTAGCATGTGATATCAGCAACTTTTGTTAGCTTTATCACTCATCACTCTATCTATTTAATGAGCAATTTGGTCTAGTTAACTTTAAAAAACTTTTATCATCCTAACATCATCTTTTACATAAAGTCGAACCAATATTTTCTAACTGATCGTTTACTTTATCTTACCTTATTTTACCTGCACGATAATTGATTTTTAATCGAAAACATTACAAAAAATTTTTCAAGATTTCCTGCTGTTTGAGAAAATTTTGATTAATGTGCCTAACATTCAGGAATAAACAGAAAAAATGAAAATTGATCAGAGCTATCAGTGATATCTGAAATGTATGCTCGATCTTAAAAAATTTTAATTTCAAATATACATTTGATGTAAATTTTAACTTTCAATTTAAGGCTTTTAGCTGATAAAGTAATTTTCAATTCTGGTATCATGAATTCTACATAAATTTTATTATCGTTATTTACCACTCAAATTTCTTTATTTTTATACCAGATTTTCTAAAATTTTCATAATTTATCAATAATGCATGCTTCTTGGAATTTAAAAACAAAAAAAGCTAACTGCAGTAACACAAAATTATTCACTAAGTTACTCTTACTTCATAGTAACAAACATTTCTAATTTATGTTGTTGTTGATGATAATGATAATTATGATAATAATTATTCAAGCAATTTCTTTACTTTTCACTTAACTTACTTACTTGATGACTTAATTACTTCACAATTTTGACACTTAATCATTATGTATGCATGCTTCGTATTCGTCGACAACATTTGTTATCGTAATTACGTTGCATTCTTGCTTTCATATCAATCATCACCTAAAAGCATTGCTTCATGATTCTAAATTTAGCCAAATTTCAATCAATGCATAATTCATCTCCGAATAATTACTTCTGGTGCTTTTATTTTCAGAAGCATTATTCGTCCGATGTAAGAAAATTCGAAAATATCTATTGAATTTATTTACACTATTGTTACTTATTATTACTTTTATTATTATTATTATTGTTATGACTATGAAAATTTTATCATTTAGAATGAAATGAAGATAATGAATATGAAGAAATAAATTAACTAATTTATTTATGACAATCTCTGAATGATTATTTTTGGTGTTTTTATTTTCAAATTTTTTTTCGTTATATACGGTAGTATAATCCTCGGTATAAAAAAAAAAATGAATTGAACTCAAATTATCCAGTTTGTTTTTTCCACACTCCATTTTATAATAATCTTGCAATGGCTCCTATTTCAAGTGAAAGTCTTTCAAATTTCTTTTAATAACTTGTAGATCTTTTAACGTAAAAGAACTCTTCACATCATCATTTAATAGTAGCACTATTAATCATCGAGAAAAATAAAATGAGTTGAATTGAAAAAAATGTCGAAAAAAAGAGAAGTAGAAAAGTAAACTTATGCTAATACCTTTTACGTCATTTGTTATCAAATTGCCTATCAATTGAGTCATTGAACCCTTTCGTTCATCCAAATAATTTGAAATTGAAGAAATAGAACTTTAGAAATCCATGAAACTTTAATTTACTCTGATGATGCAAAATTATGGGTTCTGTGTGAATAAGCTTTTCCAATACACTCCAAACAAATGACAGCTTATAAAATAACACATCAGTTATTGGATAAAACACACAAGAAATATGCAATACTTTTTTCACTTCATCCTTGATAATGAGAATGACTACTGGATAGAGGGATAATTATAATAAGTTACTGATGACAAACGCTTTCCTCTTCATTATCCTTATCATCGCTATCAGCGCGTTATTATTGTTGATAACTCTTTCTATAATTATACTACTTTCTAACCCAATAATTATCCTCATTATCATCATTACATGTATTAGTTTTACCTATAATCAGTATTTCACATTGTGTTAACTAACAGAGAAAGCTAAAATACTGAAAAGCAAGGTCTATAGAGAAGGTATTACGGTAATGACCACAAATCTCAAAAACTATGTATTTCAGAAGTTCGAAAAGAATTGAGGTGCTTCATATCTCTGATTTTAGCAAAATGTACCTATTCACTTTCTCTCTCTCTCTCTCTCTCTCTCTCTTTGCATAATGTACTATCCACATTCATAATTTGTATCAATTATTTATTTATACTGCAAATATGAATTCTAGTGTTGAGAGAATGAAAGAACAAAAAAAAAAAAAAAGTTGAACAAGCCTATTTGAAAAGAAATATGAGAATAGCTATGAAGAATTACTAAGCTTATTCTGTCAAAGGATGTTCATACTCTTTTCTCCCTTATATTCACAAATTCATGAATGACTTCAAATTTTATTTCATTTCATACAGTTAAACTCTATGAACTAGCTAGATATGAGCAGGTTTAATTAAGTCTAATTGATGAAGAGAAGAAGGAAGATTGAAATAAGAGCATCTGATAGACTTACTCATAAATTTAAAGGTAGTATTTTAGCACATAAGCATTATCATCAATTTATCAATTGAGGCTAATATATTTGTTTGTACTTCTTACTTGACTCCCTTTTTTAAGTCTTTGATCGTAATTTTAACACTTCCTTTTTAGGATATCAAGAATGCTCTAATCCCTTGCTTTATCATTATCATTTTATATGCCCTCTTATCGCAATCAGTATAGTAATCGTACGGTTAACGTGAATGACGTGAGAAGACTTACGTATATCTTTTTGGGAGCCCATGTAATAAACAAACCAACCAACATTAGTTGTACCACCATCACCCATCACCACAATAAAATGATGTCGCGACTGTTTAACCGTCGTCTGTAGCCGTCGAATCCGAACAATTTACCTATTAAAATTCACGTACGACATACGGTGGGAATACGCTAGGTGTTGGCAAATAGGAGGGAATGGGATTTTCCTTTAATTTTCCTAATGTAACTTTGTAATATATTATTCATTAGTAATAGATGAATACTTTTAGAATGATAGACACTTTCACGTAAATATTCCTCCATCCCTTTCCCTCTCTTTCTCTCTCCCTCTCTATAATTCGTGAAAGTAAGCACACATTGACAAGGTTGATTAAATTAAATCGAAGTATTTGTATATTAAATAGGTAATCTAATCGATTATCATGATCAATTAAACATAAAGTAAGAATAAAATATATAGATGTTACATATTAATATTATATGTATTTAACAATAATTTCCATAATTTTCATTTGTCATTAATTTGATATTGTTTCTGTGTTCAGTGCCATATTAAGTATTGAAATTGTTTGGTTTGCGTAATATTTTTTTTATCTGTGAAAGCATTCAGCAATTTGTCTTTAAACATGTTAATAATAAATCAAGGATTTTGTCGTTTTATTCAGTTGAGATTTTATCTCTATTATTTATGTTTTTCGTTACACTGTCATCCCGTTTCATTTATATTGAAGTTCAGGTATTTCGAACAAGCGAGATTAGCGGTAACTTATTACTCGAAAAAAACGTTTAATTGGTCATTGTCTGTTTTTATTTTCTATTGAATGGTTGTCGTATCATTCGTTAATTTGGATATTGTCAACGGATTTCATACTGACGACTGTTTTACTGTTTCGGTTAACTGATTTAGTTAATACTGTATTAAAGAGAAGGACATTATATTAAAGCAAACGCTTCGTTATAAGTACACTAGCTCTATTACTGTTAAAAGTGTGATAAGGCAGAAATACCAACTGTTGCGAGCAGTGAAGAGATCGTTTCGACATATTGGAATACAAGTCGGAGGAAACGGAAGAAGTGATAATAACATACCGCGAAGAAGCGGAGGAGAGCGGTATGACTGTGGCTACATTAGGTTACACGATGGTCATTTGTGGCAATAGTGATGATCCACAACATAGGTATCGAGGACGGATCGAAAAGTTAGTCCTGTTTATTTTACTAAATTTATCAACAAGTAATTACATAAATATGTGCTCGTGATTTTACTTTCATAATTTACTAGAAAGTTGTTAATGCATTGAACCTATCTTTTAAATTTTTTCAAATAAAAAATTAGTTGATAAGCTATTAAATGAATTTTGATTTATTTACCAGTTGTTCCCCAGAGTAATCATAATAAGGAAGGATTGGTGCAGTAGGCTTGGTATGAGAGTTTTAACTTCTTTTCTTAATCTTAGCCATTCTTTTCATTATTCAAGACACTAAGGACGACCATACTATTCAGTCTGAGGTATCACAGTTTGATCATTTTACTCCAGTTTTCTCTCCACTTCCATTTTTTCTATTGATGAGATGGAAATTAAATTTTAAATGACTAAAAGTTTTAAATTTTTACTATTTGTCACCAATGACATTCATGCTTGAAATGATAAAAAGGTTATTTTATTCATATTTCAGGAGTACTGAAGATTCGCAAAAGAATTGCTTAGATTTTTGATAACCAATAGTTTACGTTTGAAATAATTAATATCATTTGTTCATCGTCATTATTTTTTACTTGTTTTTATAAATACAAAAATTACTGTTATTTTCCTAATTTACGACATTTTTATTTTGCACGGAGGATTTCATTGCTTCAGTGTCTTCAAATTATTGCAGGGTCAAATTTGGAGTCCCAATTGAGGAAGCCTTTGCTCATGATATACCCGCTACTTTATTAGTAAGTCATATTTTTATGTTGTGTGCTTCAGGATATGTTTAATGAGCTTGAGTTTAATTTATTTGTTTTTATTAATTGGATAGGCTGTTTAAATTCTTCTTTTTTACTTACTGAATGTTCTTCTTGTATTTGAATATAAGAAGTCCAATCAGTAAGCTAACTACTGTTTGATAAAAAAATAATATATTCTGGCATGAAGAGAAAAGAAAATGAAAAGAAATTGATGGGGCTCTGTATTCTCCCAGCTTATTTTTCACTGTGCGATATTTTAGGCTCTTTTTTATACTTCATCGTTCAAAGCCAACTACTATTTAATGACTAAACATAAAATTTTTAAGCTAAACTTGTTTTTCAGGTATTGCTATTAAAAGTACATAAAGATGGTCCTGCTAAAAAGGATATCTGGCGTGCACCGGGTAATCAAGCTCAAGTACGAAAGCTTTCACATATCATGCAACACGGAAGACTTGTAAATATTGCGAATTTCAGTGTTTATACTGCCGCATCTGTTATCAAGGTGATGTGTAGACTTTTTTATGAACTATTAATGAAAGATTCATCCTTTCGATTGCATGTTGTTGTTTGATACTGCTTATAGTTTTCCAGTGTTCATTAGATCATTACAGTTGTCCTTAAATTGGTAGCTCTAATGTCCTTAAGTATAGATTTCTTTGTTCTTTACTCCGCAATATCTTTCTGATTTTTTCGATTAGTCACGTCTGGACTGGAATTTTTAACCTAATAAATTCATTAAAAGTCGTACGATTCAAGTATGGATCTGGATTTGGATATAAATTATATTTAGGATGCAGTTAAATTCTAAAAGCCATACACAGAATATGGCCACTAAATTGCTTGACCAGTCCTTTTTTTTTTCCTTTCCATAATTTTTAATTTTTTCGTTTTAGAAGTTTTTATCGAAATTACCTGGTGGCATATTTGGTGTCGGAAATGAACAGAAACTTTTTGATTTGTATAATATATCATCAGATCTTGAACTGCAGCGACAGTCATTTTGTCGGTAAGTTTTAATATTGAATAATTTCTTTGATACAAATTATATGCTCACTTTCCAGTTAAAAAACAATGAAATTTTTTTTATATTTTTAATTAAAAAAGTTAATTTTTTTATTCACTAGAGAAGGATTGCTTATAAAACATAAATATTTTTTCCACCACTAATATTCAACTTTTCTGTTCTTTGTAGGAGTATGACCCTTTTGACTTTATTGAAACTCAGTTATTAAAGTGGAAAAAATTAAGTGAATTTCAATTTCAGAGTATTAAGCAGTTTACCGATTCCATCACAACACTTACTTGTACTACTTTTTGGCACTTTTTATATGATCTCAGAGTCAGCCGATTCATTTGGCTCAAGAATGACAACGGAAGCTCTTGGAATTTCCGTAGCGCCTTCACTTTTCCATTCATGCATTCATGACGGGCAGCGGGTTCGTATACTTTTTATTTTATATCTTCCGATTTTACATCAATTGATTCAGTAGAACTCGTAGTATAGCTTGATATGTGCTATCCTATTGATTGCGTTGAATTTCAAACTTTATATTGCATTATTCTTTGGAGTAATTAATTGTTAGGATTTTTTTTTCACAACACTAGAGACAAAGCACGCAGCTATCATTGCAAAAGTGGAATTCTTGAAAGGTAGACTATGTAAGTTATCAGTTTCCTTATTCAGTTTTTATCATTCTCTCTCACTGCCGCATTTTTTTCTTTTTTAAGGCAAAGATAGAAGATGTGATACGATTCAAAATTGCTTCCGAGATTATCTCAAGAATTATTGAAAATTTTGGTTATACAAATCTTTTTCCACAAGAAAGTTACGAATTTTATGCTCGTATAACTGGACGAACATTACGATTTGATGAAAATGATTCACGACTACGGTTCGTTACACCAGCTAGTAAGTCATCGTTTTACTTTAAAGCTTGAATATTATCTGAATGACATTATTTTATTGCTAAGAATGTTTTTTTTTTCTTATTAGATGTCATCCAGTTTGTTTTTTAGTTGATGGAATTATTTTCTATTTTATAGTTCAGAAACATTTTGATAATACTCAGGGTAAAGCGAATCAAAATATCAAAGAAAAATTTTTTTTAGTCGGAATTAAATATACCTGCTGTCATGGGAGGCAACTATCGCTAAAAGAATATTTGCTTAGTTAGGATAGTTAATTTTATATAGTTTTATAAATTCTCAGTAAACTGCCACTTTGATATGGGGAAAAGAGAGATAATGATTGTACCCTATTTGTTTTTTTTTAGGAATAAGATAAAAAAGGTTCAGTAAAATACCTAAAGATAAATTTCTCTGTCTCGTCGAAAAATTTTGATGGGACATTTAAAGAATTTATTTTCTTTGAAACAGTATTAGATTTTTTACATATGTTGCTTTGAATTGGTTGATGCCACATTGCTTGATGTGTTGATATTCGACCAGTACCTTTGGCATTTGGTACTGAGTTTCAAGGGTTAATTATTTGATGCTAACAAATTTTCTTGCACTTAAAATGATTTAACATCTATTAACTGTGACATCTTGCTTTTTGGCACGTAATTGTTTATTTATTTTATTAGATTTGAATGGATTATCGTAAATTGCAGACTAGTTATGCATCATTTCATCTACTTTATAAAAAAGTCATTTATTATTTCTCGTAGCATATTTTGCCCAATTCATTCGTAGTCATCGTAATCCTTACTAAGAAGCTAGGAAGCTGCACCAGCTTGTCTGCACTAACTTAGAAATTTTATTTGGGAATGCTTCTGGGTTTTTCTTTTTTCCGGGATGTTTCTCTTTCAGATAATGTACTTTAATTTTCTGAACGTCCTGTATTTTTAAGACGTTTTTTGTCTGGTTCATTTTTTCTTTTAGATGTACACGATTGGCCAGTACCATCGCCCAGTACTTACTCGATTATGGCTGCCCAATGTGCTGGAAGATACTCGATGAGTACCGTTGCAGCGATCGACCACATTAGCTCTAACTGTGGTAGGCACTCCGATCATCATCAACAAAAATTTCTTCAAAATGTTGAAAATATTTCAGTTTGGGCAGCTAATAGAACTGAATGCTTAGGAGATAAGGGAGAAACAGGGAAAGTTAATGGAAATAATAATGTGAGAACAATACATCATCCCATTAGAAAGCATTGTATTTCTGTTGATACTGCTGTGGATGATAATGAACTTGAACCCACTCTGTTAACATCCGTTACAAATCTACAATCTCGACCACAAACTAGAGGTTATCCGCTTATGGCGGCACCCGATTGTAAACGAACATTTTTCGGAATTGGACCTCAGCATATCACAGTTGCGACGATCGCTGACGATGAACTGATAAGCAAAAACGAGAAACCAGTCCTGAGAACATCAAATAGTGAAATTACCACTGCATTTGGAAATGAACATCAAACGCTACCGACTTGTCTGAGGAATACAGAAGTTTCGACAATTTTGGGTGTATAATTGCGCAACTTAAGGAGTTACAATTTTTAAGGGACTGCGGGCCCTACTTCAGCATTGTCATTTCAATCCACAATAATTTCCATCTTTGTTTCCTTCTCTCACTCTTCTTTTTTGCAATTTTAACTTGTGAGTGCAAAAATAACCATGCACGAAGTGGGAGAGAATTGTGTTTTGTGACATGTTAGCTTAATTCTAACAAAAATAATTGCTTATTGTTTTAGTCTCTATTCGTTTCTTTTTTTTTTTTTTTTTTTAGTTAAATTTCGGTTTCAGTTTATCATTAAGAAGAATTGACTAAATTTTCACAACGGTTGGTAAGCAGCGAAATATCAGTCCTTCCCTTCTTTTTTTGTGGGTGCTCAAATAAATACATACAATTTAATGAAATATGAACATCGAGATAGCATTGTTCACGGGCTATTTTATTTTGCTGCTGACGATTATTTCTTATTATTTCTTGGAAAGTAATGACAACGAATGATCGTTATTTGTTTATTTAGTATAATAAATAGTGAACTAGAGCTATCTTATATATGTAATCTAGGATATTTTCTGACTATATTTGTAAACTCCTTCACTTTTAGTTCCAGCTGATTTAAATCTATTTCTTTACCAAAATTGCTTTATGTAACAATTTCAACTGTCACCTTCATTCATTGTGTAATAATCATTCGCTCAAATAAGTTGCATTATACTCTTATGTTTGTCTCTGTTACAAATTATTTCTTGACGTCGTTTTCCTCTTCCAAGCCATTTGGAAATCTTATGACCTCAGCAAATAAATCTTTTTACATTTTCAAATGTATTTCAAGTATTTCCTCATTGGTAATCGAGTTTATTTTTTGACCAATTTCATTTCTAATTTTGTTATTTATGACCATTGAAGTTTAACAGAAGCATTTTACTATTTATGTTCAGCAGAAGCGTTTTTCGTTTCTTTCATTTTTAATACTCTTCTTTCTTACGAACAGCAGTTATTGGTGCAATATTTGTAGTTGTATGTAAGCTACATCAATTCTATGCTTTTTGTACTGCATATCGTCGTCTTGCTTCACTTATGGCTTATAAGAAGAGACTGTAATTTAGAATCTCCATGGTTATTTCAGTTAAGTTCTCAACCGTAAGTTCCATTTAAGCTTACTTACCAATTCATTTCTTGCCTCCTGCATGCGCTATATCAATTTAAATTCGTGTAACAAATTTCCTATATTCATCTTAATGCTATATTTTTATTTAAGAGTCTAAAATTTGAAACACTTTTCAGTTGATAAATAGCGAAATATCAGTTCCTTCCCTACGGCGAACTTATTGCCTAATCCATTATTTTTAACTTTTTGATACTTACATGATAATGTTTGATTTCATGTGATGTGGAATCGGTCGACATTAGCGCATAGCAAATAGATAAGGAATGAATGCTATATACCTCGTTTGTTTCTTTATTCGTTTTACAGATTTCCTATTTGTGTCTTTCTGCTTTTGAATCACTCAATTATTTTGAATATACTTATCAAGCAAATTTGCACTATTACTACATTGTTTAAGTTACATCCCACGTGAGTGTTAGCAACGCTATTTATATAACACTGTGAAGGACTACAGATGCAATGTGATAAATACTCTCATCTTAAACCATATCCGATGTTATTTCCTGCCTATTTGTAAAACTATCTCTTCTCATGCCTATTCGAGTTTGCTGCTGTTCATGCTTGTAAAGCTTTATGACTGCGATAGTTCCATAATTTTTTGCAAATATTTCCTGTGTTTTGATATTTGCACAAGTCCAAAATTTTTACTTATGATTTCTAATTTTCTTTCAATATTGACGAAATACTGTTTAGGAATGATAATTCTCAACTCAAAAAAGAACCGATCAATAAAATATATCACATAATAGAGTTGTGCAATTTATACTTATTTGCTTGTTGATTCATTAATGGAATAGTCTTTGTATTGTGGCAAAGCTTGGAATTAATCTTGAAAGTATATGATGTGACCTACTAAATGAGATAATTGAAAAAAATTGAAAGTGTTAGCTCGTTCTTCCCTTTTCCCTTTTTTTCAGTGTTTGTGTGAATTACAGCAATTGGTAAAATGAAATCTCTAATTATTGATTGCAAAATAATTTTCTTTTTCTTTTCCGGTTTGCTTACATTGCTTTATTCTTATGTTACTTCAATCGGATAACTGTTATGAATGAATGTTTACAAAATAACATTTTCTCGTTTTCTCTTTGCGTAAATAAGTTTGTGAGAGCAAGTGAGTCTTTTAAAAGACAATGAGAGAGCAGAAGTATTGCAAAATGATTAGATAAGGAATTCTCGATCAGCAGTGTCATAAGCATATGATGTGGATACTGAGCCTATCCAAATATCAGATCGTAAAGAGGACCAAGGGCAAAAGGGGATGAAGAAGGAAAGATTGATCGATTGATCCTAATACTTCAATGAAGCCAAGCTTACTAGAAGGCGAAGATGTTGCTTTTTGTATAGTGTAGAAAATTTGTTTATTCATTCTAAGATATACGAAGACTAATCTTAACAGGACCTTAAGACCTTAATCCTTTACTGGTTTTAAGTCAGTTGGTTTCTCATCACGCCAAAAAGTGTTGAGCTTTAATCTTTGCTAAATATTTATTGCCTGTGTTGCTTTCAAAATAAAAAAAAAAGTGAAAATTAAAAAGAAACTGAAGTTCATTCTTTTTGAAATACAATAATGTTTTAAAGTTATACAAATTCATTTCAACGGAAAGGAATACGATTAAACTAATAATATTTTATTTAATAGTTTTGCCGGAATCGCACAGTCAATCCGATATGGTACTTATGAGTGCTGATGCCATTGATGATAGAAGTGCGGTAGACCGGAATTATCGGTGTTATTCGCGTCGACAAACGCAATCAACAAGTCATCACGGACTGAGATATAAACGACTAAGCAGCTCAGCTGCAGAGGTATAATTTGTTTTATTTGTCGGTTAAATGCTGAGGAAATTTTGCTTTTGAGATATGAAATAGTTTTTACAAGACTAAGTGATCTTGAAATTACACACAGCAGTTGCGTGCTTCAAATTTTTCACGCGCAATTTTCTTTTTCGATTTTTTGATTTAATTTTTAATGGATTTTTTCAGTAGAAATTTTTGTTTTTAGAAATATTTAGCATCAAATATATAAGGTGAAATAATTTCCCTAGAATTTTAATTTAAATCTCTTAGATTTTGAATTAAATATTGTTGAATTTTTTCATCAGTGACTACACCTCTGATTCCTTCCAGTTTTTTTCTTTTCTATTTATTACTTCCAATAAAAGAAAAGTCATAGTTTACTTACTCTGGAAAGCAGTTTCTTGTTTTTTAATATTATTTCATCCCAATTAAAGGTTCAACATTCGCATAGTGATGATGATGAAAAATATTCGTTGAATGTAGTTCATGGTAGTGGATTGTTGGAAAGTACTCATTCACTTACCTATCTTGAATGGGTACATGAAAGGCAAACAAGACGTATGCGTACACGGTCTGAATGGTTAGTGCATTTTTCCATAATTTTGCAACATTTATTAATTGCTTAGAAGCTAGAACAAAATGTCATACTGTTTACATATGTTAACAGTAAGTCAAGAAATCCATTAAAATTCCGGTTCTATGGATTAAAATCTAGATAGTTTTTGATATTCTTATGGAGGTGGAATTAATTGCTTTGTTTTTAGGTTCCTTTTGCCTGCATCGTCAGCAAAAAATAGCGGCACATCACAGTTAAGTGCTTCTGAACTTTCCTCTACTAGCATGCTTCAACCGTATTCTCAGTTTGATGACTCAACAGTGAGGTCACGTGAGAGACGCACGGAAAGTTCAGATAATGCTGATGAATGTCTCATAAATGTTACTCGAAAACTACCTTTATCGGCAAGTATTATGTATGAAAACACATTAAATGAATTTAGTTGTTGACTTCAAAGAAAAAAAACTATTTCTTTTTAATTCTTGCCGAATTTCTAGTTATCGCCACAAAAAGATTCAAAAATCTAACATTACAAAAAGTTTTATAACTTTTATAGAAAACATGCGAAGGAGCAATCACCTCATCTTCAATTAATGTATCTGGAGAACTTCCTGCAGCAACACAGCCAGCAATGTCTCCAACATCTAGGATAGCTGGTGGTATCGTTCGTCGACGTTCTTGGCGTACTCATTACGTACGTCCTAATCGAATCGTTGAGAGTGGTAATAAGGAACGAGTATGTTTTGTAAAATTTCCATTTGGTTTTTATAGGGAATAGCCAGTTCAGTTCATTACATTACAAAATTATCTTATAATTTTGACTAGCATAGTCATGTTCGGCGTTGAAATACTCTTCCTTATACATAACTATGATACTTATACATAACTACGTAAGTCTGTACAAGTTTTTCATAGTTGTGTAATAGACTTATAGGAGTAAATTTCTTATCCTTTCTTTATTTCCGTGCAGGTTTTATTTTTCTGTTTCTTATCATTCTTTCCAGATAAATTCGAACTTATTTATTTCTAATTTAACTTTGTCTTTAACTAACTTGCCTGATTTCAGGATTCGAGCGAAGTTACTATTATTTCATGTAGATCAGCGCCGTTATACCGTCGTAATGTACCACATACGTGCAGTCGAAGTTTGCCAGGTACTGGACAACCTATACTACTACCATCATCTTTGATTGAATTGCAACAGCAGAGGCAGAAATCAGGGGCATCATCACCGGAGTTTGAAAGGCGTTATTATCCAAAAAATGGTAGTGATAGTAGTATTTCTCATGGGAGAAGGTCAAAAACTGTTTCACAATTTAAAAATGTTCATTTCTAAATTATGAGACTTTCATATTTGGTTTTAGATAAGAAAAGAATTTCCAAAGAAAATTGAATAATTCATTAAAATTGTTTGCCTAGATTTTGATTGCTCGAATTTAAATTGAAAGAAAAAGCTTCTTCATCCTTTTGGCTAAAATATGAATGTTCTATAGCTTCCTACTGATTTTTGAAGGAAAATTAAATTTTTCTTTGATTTTTTTTTCACTTCAAATATTGCAGCACTTTTCATGCCGTTTTATTATTTATGTTATTATTATTATTACTGCCACCCATATTGTCGCTTTATTTTTACCAAATATTTTCAGCTTTGAAAATTCGATTAATTAGATCTGTTTTTTGTTTGTATAATTTATTCTTCACAGAAATTGATTTCATGAAAAGCTAGTATTGCAAAAGGAATTTTATGGGAGAATCTGAAGTCATTCTTATTTGACTAATACTACTGAGATTGTTATAAGTTGAAAAAGAATTTTGGAATCAAGTGCTCTTCTATCTGAAATAAGGTGAATTTTCTTAATATTTAGGATATTTTAGGAAAAGAAGGGAATGTTTCCAACAGTTTTATTTTACTGCCTCTTGGCATACCTCATATGTTTTCCCTTCGCTTCTGCCTTCTCGATTTTGTGTTTTTTAATAATCTTTCTTAATCTTTCTTGATTTAGAGAAGAAATTCAGCATTGCAAAGTTTTTAAAAAGCGATTATTCAGAAAATCACATAAACTCGGACAATAACACCTTACCTTCAGGACGAATTTTTTTTTTTCTGCAATTAAATAGTTTATTTCATTGGTTTGAAATTTTGTCTTATTTTTGAATTGATAGTGGCTTCTTCATACCATCTAATGTGGTAAATATACTGTTTTGGAAAAACGAGAAACAATCATGATAGGAGGCTTTTTTATCTTTTCGAATTTAACTAATTATTATTCCCTTAACATTCCATCAGTTTACGTTGCTCATATTCCCGATTTTTTCGAATTCATTTTGCTGTTTTATCTGCTTAATTCTTTTCTTGAACAATAGTTTTTTATGTCTTTCTGAATCGATTAAAATTTTTAGCAAAACAGTAGTGTTTGAAAAGCTTGAACACTACAAAACTTAATCTCATATGTGATAGTTTTTTATGTTAACATAATTTCAAGATTTTTTTTTCTGTTTCTTGATGGTATCACTGTTTTAACGATAAGCTATGTAAATACTATAACCAGAAATTAACTTTTAGAAAAAAATACGAAATTAACACAAATTCAGCTAGTAGATCCATCTATGGCATTGATTGACAGATTTCGTTTAATTGCTAAACGGTATATCATTCCGGATTCCCTTGTAGATATTGCTTGTTCCCGTTTTATTTTTGAAATTTTGTGCCATCTACCTTACTGGCATGCTCTGCTATATTATTTTCATATATGTAAGTTTCCTTGCCTTTGCCCGTCTGCACGACAAACGATGAATCTCTGTTTGAGATCTTTTTTTAGATCGGTTAACAATGTAATATGTTATATTCTAAATTGTAATTTTTTGAATTGTTTTAAAATGAATGTAACCTTTTTACGGAATAAATTGCTGAATTGCTATATGATGAACAGTATAATGAAGTAGCTTCTAATGAATAGTACAGAAAGTAAGCCAGGTGAAGAATCTCTCATTAATTTCTGATTCAATTTCTGTTTACCACTCTATTTTCAGTGAATGATTCATTTGAAATAGTAGTAAACAAAGGCAGGTACACTTTTAACCTTCTATTCCTATCAATTCGATGTTGATGTATTAAGCAGTAAGTTCAAAAATTTGTTGCTATAAAGGCAACAAATTATTATGGTGATCAAATTTGTGAGGAAATTTGATTTGAAAGAGCAGAACAAATTAGGCAGCAATAAATTATTGTTTATTATTTATAGCACTCTTTTTAAATCCATTTAATTATTGCAATTAATATAGAGTTTTTTAAACAACAGTCTTCAATAGTAACAGCTATTCAAATGGATTAAAATGTTACTAAAAAATTAAGTCCGATTCAAATTCTTATTTAAATTTTACAGTCAGGAACGTGTTTAACTTCTGTTTGCTTTAGATCCTATAGTATACTAGTAAGATTTGATATCAAATTCTGAAAATAAGTTATATTAATTTGGGAGTCTTTCAAATTTAAAATTCATATGATTAAATTCGACATTGCTTCAATGCAAAATATTTATTTCGTTTGTAGAAAAGTTGAATTCTACGTTTATTCTTCTTTTTTCTTATTGTAGAACAGTTCGTAATTTTATACTTTTTAATCATCTTGAAGCCATCCACGTGCTCTACTAATTCCTTTTTTCCATTGACGAATCATCAGTTCACGTTGATTGTTACTTAAGTTTGGTTTTTGGATAATTCCATCTTCTGCGTGATATTTTCTAATTTCATTGAAACTGAAAATTATTTATGAATATTAAGAGTAAATTTCTAATTTATATCATATTTATTCTTCAATTTACATTTACCTGTACCTGTGCAAGCTATACTTATTAATTATCTCATCAAAGTATCGCAGTAAACTTCATAACCTGGAATATCAAACAACAACTGATATTGCTTATGTTATAATTTCATCTTCACTTCATACATTATAAAATTAAATTGTTTAAAGCTCATAATGAATTGACGAGGAAACATTTTCAAAGTGCTCTAGTTACTATCCTTTATAATTAAACCTGATAATTTGAGCACCAATAGCTGCTACCATTGCAGCACCCCAAGAAGAAGCTTCAGCATTGGGTGATTTGATCACATCTATTCCAAGAATATCACTTAATATTTGCAAGAATAATGAATTTACCGTTATACCACCATCAACCTAAAATTAAAATTCTATATTATTCGAAGGAAAATATTCCCTCTTTTTTCTTTAATAAAAATAATTTAAATTCCGAAAATTTACAAGCTAATAGAAAGAACAAACTTTGAGAGCTTTAATTTTCTGATTATACGGCATATCAGTGCATGTAGCTTCAATCATTTCTTCGGTCTGAAAACAAATAGCTTCAAGAACAGCTCGAATAATATGTTCCTTTTTGGTAGTCTGTACAAGTCCGCATATAATGCCACGTGCCGTTGAGTCCCAATGTGGAGTGTAAAGACCGGTAAAACAGGGTACAAATATGACGCCATCTGTTCCTGATACTGAAATTGCTGCTGGTTCCACTTCGGAAACATCCTGGAAAGTTTAAAAAACTTTTTCTGCAAAATTTAATTAAATTAAATTTCTTCATACTTAAGCATAATGAAGTCTTCTAGTAGCAATATATCTTAGCTTAAAATATTCATTGATAAATTTAAAACAAAAAAAAAAAAAAAAAGTAATTAATGAAAAAAAAGCCACTTTTACAATATGTCCTCGAAAAAGCGCACTTACGTTGATAAGTTGTAAATTATCGCAAAGGAATCGAATTGCATTTCCACCAATGGAACCGGAACCTTCCAATGCATAACAGACTTTTCCTTCCGAACCAAGCTGAGGAATAAAATGTTATACTATAATTATCATTTTTTATTCTTTTTCATTTCTTCTTTGATCTTTGTTTCATACAAAATAAAACAAAGATCAAAGAACAAAGATTCCTTTACAAGAAATTATTAAGTTGATAATATCAAGTTGATAATATCAAGTTGATAATTCTTTATCACTTTTCTGCTTTTTATTATATAATAGTATATAAATAGAACAATAAATGTTTAGCCTACTTGATAAGCCACTGTTGTTATCAGTCCATTTTTGTTGATGATCATATTGTTGCCAATATTAGTAAGCATAAATGTACCTGTACCATAGGTACATTTTGTTTCACCTGGTTCAAAGCAGTACTCACCGAACAGAGCAGCTTGTTGATCACCCAAACAACCTGATATTGCTATTCCTGTGAGGGAACCTAAATTATACACTAACTATCATCTATAAAATTTCATCAGTGAAAATGAAAAATAATTCTTAATATAAATTTTAAAAATGATTTTTTATTCCATTGCATAGATCAAATCAATTTTAATTTATTTAACTATTTTGCGTTATTATCACTCCCAGTGTTTTAGTAATTTCAAGTTATTTAAATTATTTGGAAAGAAATTTTGTTCTTTTTTTTTTAATTACTGATAAGGTCAAATAAAGGTGAAACTTAGTCTGTTTAATCATTTCTAAGTGTACATTGCTATGAATTCATAATATAACATAATTTCATTTATTGCTTTTAGCTTAATGTTTTATAAGTTTCTTTTTATTTTTTATTTTTTTAAATTTTGTAACCTAAGCATATTGTAGCATATATTTCGGCAGAAGAATGAATTTTCGGCAAAATGCTCATTGGAATTTCGAAGAAATTGCAAAGCTCTTCAGACCAATTTAACGTTTCCATCGAAATTAACAAAGTGCGACTAGCATTTGTGACATCGGTGATATGTTTTCCGGTTAACTTATAAATTAACCAAGAGTCTACGGTACCAAACATCAATGTTCCTTAATATAAATCTTTTATTTGTGAAATTAGAAGAAAAAAAAAAAACAAAAAACGTTCATTATGTCATTATTATAATCTACTAATTATTTATAGATAATTTAGCATTTCAGTTTAATAAAGTAAATTTTAGAAGGACTAAATTTTCCAACAACTTTTCAAATTATTCATAAAAAAAAAAACATTTAATGAGAAACATGGAATTTCATGATGTTATGTCAATGGTAAATGCTAATATCATTGATTTATACTGTAAGTCAATTTTTTGAATCTTTTGACTGAAATGCATTCCCAGTAAATACTTTTTAAAAATTGAATTTAAAAAAAAAAAAAAAAGAAAACTGTTTCATTAGAATCAAATTATATAGATCTAACAATTGGATAAATTGATAGCTAGGAAAAGCTAAATAAATTATCATAACATCTTTTAACTTGTCAATTATTTTTTACAAAAAAAAAAAAGATGAATCATCACATTTTTTCTTTGTTTTTCTTTAAATTGTTT